CTTTTGGTCAAAAGTTTTGTCAACTGTGAAAGTTCATATTTATATTTTCAATGTAGTGGAGCAATAGCAGAAAGTTGTATATGCGTGCATATTGTATATTCATATAACAGTTGGGTGTATTTATCTTTCAAAAATTGTAAAAACGATTACATCAGAAATGGACAGATGATTAATTTATATACAAAAGCGTGTGTTGAAACAAGTGGAACTACATTCTATTAATTAGGCTTACTTGATTATTTTTAATAACTACTTTTTCCTATAAATAAATTACCGTGAGTAGAAATTGTGAAGAGAAAAACCAATAATATCCAAAACTATTTTTATACTATTCATGAAAACACAATGTTTTGTGATGACACAGAATAAAATGTGTGAAATTCAAACAATTTATAGCATACATAAATAAAATCTCACAATATTAAACATATTTTTTGAGTTTACAGTAGAAACGTATAGTTCATATTTCAGACTCAAACATAATTTCTGGTCTCAATCAGTGGTTTCTTGACCCTGTTTGACAAGTCGGAATTATATCAACCACACATCCTTGTAATGTTTATCTTTTTGAAAAGTTCTATGGCATTTCTTTGAGTGTCTGCAACTTTAAAATGTACAAGGTTGTTCGATATTCTGACTTACAGCATTTATCTGTGGCAGAATTATGAACAAGGCTTTAGTGTTGCAGATAGTTTTAAAAAATGATAAAAAGCAAGGACAAGAAAGACAATACAATGAGAAATAAATTATGCAAAATACGTATGTCAAGACCAGAATACTAATACATGCAATATTACTGAAGAAAGGAAAGCCAAGTTAAAACCTGCCATGCCATTGATAACCAGTTCTGGTTTGAGGATAAATCTCCAAAATGGTACACAAAAAGTGCCAACATCACAATGACAATAAGATCTTAATCTTTCAAAAAACAAAACAAAAAAAACGACTGGATGTTGTAAATGACCTAAGTGATGATATCTAGCAAGAATTTAGATGGGAAATTCAGGCCCATAACAACAAGAGCAATAAGCAAAGATGATCTGATCATTATATTGTAACTAAAATAAGATTTAACAGTCAAATTTTATCCTCTTCCAAGAGATGCGTACCTTGGTGTATAGCCTATGAATGCAGTGGAATACTAAAATTCCAAAGAATGGCTGCATAAGAATCTGAATGTCACACTTGCATTACTGAGAACTATACTAAATTGTGTTAGAGTATGTACATTTTAACAATTAGCTTTATCACTGAAGATCCGACATAAACTTAAGTAATATCTACTGATACGTAATATAAGATAGCATAAGCTCCTCTTTTGTGCATTATGAGTAAAACATCATATGAAAAGACGTATTGTCATATAATTGAAGAACAGAGCTAAAATTTGGATATTTATCCTAATATGGTCTGATTACAATCTTGAATTTGTTTCTTATAAGACTGAGCAAAATATTTTTCAGGTTTTACACCTAGATATTATTACTTGGGCACCCATAGAAAGGGTCTAGGTAGTCAAACTACAAACAGCAGATGGGTTTTAGTAAATGGTTCTGGTTCCACAAATTAACTATGCAAACGTTTACGTTTTGATTTTAGCTAACAGCAAACTGTAGTGATTCATAAATTGAAGGGATATCAAGCACACGTTTTTATGTTGGGGTATATATACACCTGGAAAAAAGTTAAGCACCCCCAAATATTTTTCAGGATTGGTTATTGAAAATAAGG